AACTTCTCAAAACACAGTGGCCCAGCAGTAACCTTTTGCTATCAACACATTAGATAAAGGGCCAAAATCAAAACAGTACAAGTATTCTTCAAAAAAGCCTGGGTAAACATCCTGGAAAAAGCAGCACTCATAATACAGATGTTAAAATAATTGTCTTTTTAATAACAAAATTGTGTTTGCCATAAAAAAAATCTCTAACAGTTGTGATGCCTCTTTTCCAATGTAAATATATTAACTGTTAACCAAACACTGTTCCCTTGCAGGAAGAATTTCCAACTGATATGTGAAATATGTGGGATTATATATTACTACATATATTATACAATATATAACTCATGCTCAATAATTTCTCATTCCACATGTACAGCTAGAACTTAATAACCTTTGTCTAAAAGATTACTCATCCTCTCCTTTAAATGCACCTCTTCAAGTCCTGACAATTTTTCCAATATAGTATTATTTTTCATTTAAGGCATCTTCTCCAACAAAAACTTGCTGTCTCCCACAACAGAATCCATTCATTCTCCTTTCAGATCTCCTGCTCAGGTTTCTTATGCTAGACATAAGGCCAACAACCCACACAGATCTTTGGTCTCTTCACACTGTGAGGTATACACTGTAGTCTAGAGGCAAAAAACCTGTAGAGAAAATTGGCATATACAGGATGCTGCTCCCTTTCACATTTCCAGCTTGACAGAATATATAAGGCCATCTAAATTTTAAATTATACATCACTTCAATTACAACATCATAGCTTCATCTGAAGCTGGCAATTACGTCCTGTAAAATAAATTAATACTTCACTTCAAGAAGCTGTAGAGAAGTCCAAACCTCTGAAGTGGGCTTTTGTTAAGTCATTAAATTAATGCACAGATTTGTCAGCTCTGTTCTCACAAGCTTTGATCAACTCCTTCCATCTTCTCAGTGTGCCTCCACACAGAGCTGTTCAACATGCTACAAACAGCATTATACATGAGTCCTGCAATGTTTCCTGTCAGACACAGGGAGCAGCACTTTGCCCTTCAGCTGTTACAGCATCTTCTCAATGGAGCCTTCATTTTCCACCAGACAGGCCTCAAACTCAAGTGTTTTCTTCTAACTGCTTTGCCTGTCAGACAGAAGAGAAATAATTGCTGAAAAATGTTTTACATATCTTCTTTGCCTTGTCCTATTTCATAGCCTAATATTAAAGGTGAAAACCAGAATTCATTGATTTTTTTAAACATTAGAAGTGAAGTGGTATTTGAAAAGCACAGAAGCTGTTGGGTTTTTTTTCCAGTTCAACTGAATGCAGTATTACTCTGTATTAGGCATAGAAAGAGAGCAGAATAGTGTGTGTAGTATAATTAAACTGATTAAGTACAATAATTACCAGATCATTAACAAGATAGCATAGAAAGAAAAAACATAAGAAAACCACATATTCTTTTACTTCTACACTAAGCCTGCTTAATTCTAAGATACCAATTCCTTTCTTCTAGAAATCCCCCCCTACCCCTCCCTTTTAAGACTAATTCTTTTGGGAAACCATTCCCAAACTGAGGGGATATACTTTACATTTTCTATTCTATTACTTGTTGAATCAAACAAAAATTTCATTTCCCACTTCAGAAGTTTCATTTACTGCATATCAACAACAGGAAAACACTTAAAATGGCTTTAACCCAGGAGACTAATGAAGGATAAAATGCTCAGATATGTATTAATAGTAGATTATGTTCCACTGTAAACATGACAAAAAGGCACAATCCAATATATAAAAAATATGCCTAGTTGTTTTCCTGTAAAAGCAGAGGAATGTTACTGAAAGTATTGTGGCTGATTATTTCAGACTGTCTTTTTAAAACCTGTTTTCCCTTAAAAGAAACAAAATCATATTCATTTATACATAATGTAAGACCTACAGATGAATGTTGTGGAGCCTTTTCATCCTTAAGAGCCAAGGAATAGATTTCATCTCTACTGAATGCAGGAGAAGGATGGCTCTAAAGACTTCATGTTTGTTAATGCACAGTCTGACCAAGATGCAGGTCAGCCCTAGTTCACATAAGATAGAGGGGAAAATAATGCAAAGTTATCAAAAAAAAAAATATTTAATTACTCTGTCTCTTCATTTTTAAGCACTTGGTATCTGGGACTCTGGAGGTCGTCGATGCTCTCAGCAATTGGATTATTTAGTGTTTCTGGCAGAAGGAGAGTCAGGAATCCTGCAGATAGTCCAGTGATTCCAAACACCACGAACGGTATAGAAGGACTGAGAGACTTCTGAAATCAAAAACCCAGAGTAAAAACCCAGCATTCTTGCCTGCTCTCAAAAAACACAAACCGCAGTCAAAACCAGAAGACTACAGCTTGTCACTCCAGCAGTTTGTGCAATTATCCATATTCTGGTAGAGGAAAGAAACCCAATAAATGCCATTTCACAGAAACAGCTTCATATAAAAGCTTTGTTCACATGTCTAAGAAAACTCAGATACGGAGTGAGCCTTAGCAGTACCAAAGGCATTACATGGCAACCATTTCACTCAGAGATGAAATAGTGACAACATAAAACATTAGACTATTTCCAAAAATGACAAAATACTAGGTATTTTTAAGCATTGTTCACTCATTCTTGAAATCAAGTGAACACTATTTAATTTTTCATAAAATCAATTTTTTTTTCCAAGGAATAGGGGTGGACATGATACAAAAAACAGTAAAGTGCTTTTGAGAGAATTTAATAAATCTGAGTTACATAAAAAAGTTGAAAATAATCTTACCATTGATGGCACAAATGGAGCCAAAATGCCCCCAAATCTGCAAGACATGGAGCAGACACCCAAGCCAGCATTTCTGTTTTGAACAAAGGATGCAAAGTTTGTACTTTCAGAATACACAGCTGAATCATGCATGAACATGTGGTGGCAGTGTCCGAGCCAACTTTTATATATATATATATATATATATATTTTAAGTTATCAGTAATCTTGAATTTAAATAAAGTTTTTAAAGACCTCCAGTGGTTACTCCAAAGACTTTCCTCAACTGGGTGCAGGTAAGGTAAAATCACACTCTTTCAAACGCTCCCAAAACCACCCTGTTGTGCAATCAACCCTTCAATCAACCAACAGAGAGGCTTTCCAACCTGCACCCTAGGGCAATTTAATTGGGCATCCCTGAATGGGGAAGGATTTCAAAATGTGGCAGGATCTTCAGAGAGAAGATGCTGAATCTTATCTCCAGCTTGAGCTGCAGCAGCCTCTCCTCTGCCACCTCGGGGTGCACAGATGAAAAGTCAGTGTTTACCTCCAAACAGAAAATAACTCTCTGCCAGTGAGAAGCTTGAAAACATCTGGCCAGATGTGTCACTACAGGAGCTGCTGAATTCTGTGCTCCCTTCAATTTTCAGATAAGTTTAAAATAATCTCATCCAGACTGTGATAATCATGGCTTAGAACAGCAAGATCCTCTTCAAAGGAAAGTTCAAAAGTCCTCAGTCTTTAATTTCCTGACCAATTGCAAAAACTCTTCCATCTCTGTATCATTCCTAAATACAGGATTTCACAGCCCTTCAGAGATGGGTGTCAGCACCAGTCACCAGCGAGATGGTAACAAGGTCATGGTGGCTGCTCTCTCTGCATCGCTTGGTTCCTTCCTCTCATTCATCATCATCCTCAGGCTCGCTGCTGAGCTGAGCTGTTCCTGCTCATCTTTTTTCCCCCCTCCTGCTCACCCTTTCCCTCCTCCAAAGACAGGAAGACAGTGACAGGATTAAGAATGATGAGGAGAGTGGTGACACGGGTCACTGGTATCCCAATATCACCCACCTGCATGTCCCTTCCTAATTGCCCTTTGCCAGGTGAAGGGAAACAGGTGGAAGGAGCTGATGAGAGGCCAGTGACTTTGGAGTAAAATAAACAGAAAAGGCAACCTTTTCTCTCATCAAGTCCTCTTGGGAAAAGGAAAATAGCAACCCACATTTCCTCACAGTTAGGCCACATCAACCCAAACCCCACAAGACAAGGCCAAGCACCTCCCTGTCCAACAAAATCCCTGCATGATGGGACACACCAGTCTGTGTGTGAACCATTCCTTCCCACAGATCCCAAGCCTGTCCATGCCCAGAGGTTTGCTGGCTTCTTAACTTTCTGCTGAGAGGGAATATGGTAAAATGTGATCCTAAATGCCAATCGGATCATTGCCATTCCAATGCAAAATGAAAGCAGTTATGAAAAGACCCAAGGATAGTTTCCCCACTGTGAAAATAATCAAATAGTTTAATAATTACTGAAAATGAGCAAGAAAAGCTGTCCTTGGCAGGGCAATGGCTTCACTCTGTTTTCACCCAAGACACACAAGGATGTCATCATTTTGCAACTACTTTCTCAAGAAAAAGCCCCATGAGTTTTTACATCTATATTAGTGAGCTATGATTACAATTTGTTCCCAAAGATAACCTTCCTCTTTGTCCAAAATGCAACAGCAGTGAAATTTTCTATTTTTAACTTTTTTTTCATTCCCCAGCAGGTATTTTAATGACACATCAAAAAGGAAAAAAAAGCCCCAAGCCCAAAGACTCCCCAGCCTGCAGCACTGCCCTGTTTATACCATGAGGTGTATTTGTCACTGCTGCATGTACCAGTTAACTTAAAACAGAGGCCCAACAATCCTCATACTTAAAATAGTAAGTTTAAATACAGAGCAGTAATACTGAAGACGTTTAATTTTTCTGCAAAACATCCATCTGAAAAAAAAAAAAAAAAGGCAAAAAAATAGTTATTCCACCTCCTCTGCCTTTGAATGTACGTCTCATCCCAGGACTGATCCAGGAGCACTACAAAGCTTTGCAGAGACCACCAGGTGGTGCTGATGTTTTGCTTTAAATTTAACACTCACCCGTCACACCACTTCTCTTGCAGAAACTATAATATTTGCAATTAAAAGGACCAGAGACTTATCAAATGTTTTTAAAATGTATAAATTGTCACATGTCAGGAATGTTCATGTGGTTTAATGTATCAGTTTGTCACATTACTAAACTGGTCTAATATAGTTACTATTTTTTTTAACTGTCTTTCTCCTTACATTTTCTCCCCTGGTAGTCTGTGAATTTGCCATACAAAGTACTTTTTTTTTGCCAGAATATTAGTGCAGATTCTCAAATGAAGCAGCACTTTACTTGATTTTTTTTTTAATATTCCTCATGAAAATTACTTCGTTTCATACACACAGAGATGCTGCTGTAATTCCTGCTAGGCATGAGCTGTCACATACTTGGCACCAGGCATCAGCACGACTTAAGGAGACAGTGTAGCATGAAAACACAGCAAAACAAGCAGAAGCTGATAAATTAAACACATTTTCAGATTTAATTTTCTTGGTTCGTAATTCCTGAAAAGTAGAGGGGACAGGGAAACAAACAAACAAAAATCAAATGTGCTCAAAAAAAGAAAAGGAAAACAAGGAGGGTCTGAAGTTTGGATGGGGAGAATGCAAACAATCCCCCACATCCACCTGCAGTCAGTGTGCCTGGGACGTGCATAGTCAACCTAAACCTGTGCCAAGAACCACAAGCTCAGTATCTACAAACAGTCACTCCACTTCCATCCTCATCAGTGGTACTGCTGAAGCTGCATCCACAGTCCAGCTTTTATGGCTCCCTAACATGGTAATTTATGAACTGTGATATTATTAAAAAAAAAAAAAAAAAACCAATCCAAGGAGTCCCCCAACTTTTCTGTTTGTTTGTTTTTTCATTTCCCCCCAAAGCCCTGGATTCAAGTGATTTGTGTCACCATCCTAACTCACTACAGCCACATCTACCAGCTGGGACACCTTCCTACTCCACATCACCTTTCAACTTTCCTGCTCTCTCTAAACTGGGCCCAGTTTTTTCGAGTACATTTGCAGTTGCTATTCTTGATTGACTCATGCAATGTGGCTCAAAGTCTGAGCACGTACTTAGAGCACATCCAGAAAATCACATGGGACCAACATGAGGGTGAGAAGAACAAGACTCTGTATTATGTTTTCCTATCTCAGATTTATCTTGGGACAACAGGAGAGTAACTTCACAGAGAGTTGGTAAGAACTATGAAAAATAAATTAAGGTTTTTAGCTCTACACCATTAATTAAATGGTGTAGAGCAAATGACTGTCATATAGATACTATTAAAATGGGCTGCATTATAAATATTTAATTAAATAACAAAGATATAGAAAAGAACTTGCTTTCCAGCAGGCAAACTAAGTCATATGGGAGATGTAAGCACACAAAAGGACTGTAACTAGTCCTTACTGCACAGTCTGCATTTATTTTTAAGGTAGCACACACTTCCATCACATCATTGTGTTTGGGTTTGCTCCCTGTAATTGTACTCCCAAAAATCAATAGTAGAAATGATAAACACATCACCAAGCACTGCAGCACAAGAAGCTGGTTTTCATGGTTTTGCTCTGGATTCAGACCAAGAGCAAATTTCCCCAAACAGCCTGGAAAAGTGCATTGGTGCAAAATGTGTGACTACTTGGAGAAGCCCTTTCCAGCCCTGGCGAGCTGCCTTACTTACAGAAAGAACTCATACAGTTATTTCAGGTAAAAATAATTACAGATAAATGCTAAAGCACACCTGCAATCCCGAGCATGGAAAACAATTTCATTTACCCAGAAGCTCTGCTAAATTACCTCAGCACTGTTGGGTACAGCTCAGATGTATAAATATACAGGATGTTGAAAGCAGCACTGACCATCATTTTTCCACACAGAGCTAACAAAGTGGGACCCAGGAGGAGACCTTTCAGGAAAGAGAAAACAGGATGTAAGCATGAAGAGTCTCTTTTCTTATTCTTTTTTTACACAAATTTCTTTTTTTTTTACACAAATTTCTTTTTACACAAATTGGAGACTGTCACAAAAAGCAGTGTTTAACCCAGACATTTTTCAACTACGAGCACAAAAGCAGTATCTCAGCTCTTCCCAACCAAGCTAGTTTCTTAAACTAGCTTAAGAAAATTGTATTTAGGACAAAGGAAATCAAATCCTTTTTGTTTGTTTGTTTGTTTGGAAACTGTCAAACTATCACATGTCTAAAGGAAGGGCTGCTGCTTCCAGCTCTGCAGTCAGAACATCTTCCCAGGTAACTGTGTCCTTTGACAACCACAGACAACGTACCCTTCTTGACTAGTTTATTAGATTAAAACCATGGAACTTCATTCACCTCAACAGTTTATTTGCTCCCCAAGGACACCCTGTTGGGACTTAAAATTGTGACAGTTCTGTAATTGGAAAGAACAAATGCTAATGCATTTACTAGGTTTACTAAGAAGACAGAGTTTGGTTGGCCAAATGGAAGTGTGCATCTTTTAGAGTCCAAAAGAAACCTGGCTTTCATTAACGTGATTTTGGTTATGGTTATGTTCACACCATATGTTTTAATAAAAAGAGAATGTAATACTTTTTTAGATGAAAAAAGAACAAGTATTCTGATTAGCTGTATTTCAGGTTCCCTTCCTTAGCACTGAGTTCAGCGTTTTTGATTTGGATCAAATAATGTTCGTTAAGTCATGGGAAACTCTGATTGCTTCTCAGTTGCTTTTCTTTTAGTTTTGCCCATCAGTACTTTCAGTATAATTCATCCAGTCAGATTCTGTTTCAACTGATGAAGAAATTCATCTGTATGTAAACTGAAATCCAGAAACTTGATTTAATTTCTTTAAGTGTGATGCATTTTTGCGCTTATTTCTGTAATTCATGCAAAACAGACGCAACATTTTCACCCAAGTTCTCCTTTTACACGGGAAGAACTGGAATATTACACACAGTTGCCAGATGGAAAGGTGTGAAGCTGGTCCTCCCAGTGCTATTAGGTAGATTCACCCTCTGTCAGTCACCTTCACGAGTAAAAGTTCATTTGAGCAGGACTTTTGAGACTGAAGGAGTCTTTAAACTTACTTCAGACAAAGTACCCACCCATGAAAGGGTCATTCTCAGCACAAAATACTCAACATTAACTAGAGCTGAGGTAAAATCGATTTGAAGAACTGCAAATTCTCTTTCCTGCTGCAGTGGAAAGCATATCAAGGAAAGCCACAAAAAGGTATTATGCACAAACAGATAAATCTCAATGAAAGCTAAAATCCAGTTACCCCTAGACTGGGAGTCTCCTTTGCTTGCTGCAGTATAAAGCAGACACAAAATGCAGATGGTCTTTCTGCTCTACAGCAGCTTTTGAAAGAAAATAGTATTACAGCTCCATTGCCCCTCCACTGCCACTCTCCCTCACCATCTTCCAGTCTGATACACAAACTAATTGATGAATTTTAAGTGATAAGGAAAGAGGGAGCTGAGGGTTATATCAGTCTTTACATAACCACTGGCAGAATTTTAGTCTCCAATTCAGTACACATCTTTAATATCAGAAATGCTCTTGGCTTATTCCACAGGGGAAATCATTCTGATCAGATTCTCATTCACAAGTTAGCAGAGTTATTTAGAAATCAAGCAAAGGTTACAGACATGAGAGGCAGGTGCCCAGCATCTCATTAAAACCTTAAATCCCTTGTAATAAAATCAAGAATCTTATCAATCACTCGGAAGAACAGAGACTTAGACAAATGTAATAGTAATGGGAGGGTCAGACTGGAGCTGCAGCAATCCTTGTTTCATCCAAAGTGACTCATCTTCATCATGCTTGGAACCAAATTTCTTTCTTCTGAACTGACACAGATCACTCTGGGCCAAGAGCCAGCTTTACTCTCACCACAGTGCCAAGTCAGATGTTTTAATGGGATTAAAGACAAATCAACTGGAAAAGGCAGAAGACTTCCTGTAAATAAGGAACTCTTCAGGAATTATTACCCTACTGCTTTTCTATCATTTTGTTTTAAAATTCATAAAGAGAAGCACAAAGAGCAAAGTTGTTGGAATAAAGGAAGACACTGCCTCAATAGAAGGAGCAACAAAACGTCTGAGGACTTGAATTAATGGCATATCAGATTATGGGACATTTTCTCTCCGTCTGCTTTTCTTCCTGAGCCTTTTCTCAGATCAATTAGAACTGGATGCCAGACAGCATTTATATCTGTTAAGGATAAACATAGCCTATGGGAGACTACTTTGGGATCACAGAGCTGGTGCTCTCAATCAGAACACTGTTAAGGCTGAAGTATTTCTACTGATGGGACGTTAAGAAAAACACAAGCAGAGAGCAGCCACTTCTACTTGTTAGTGTCACACAGACCTAAGTTTTCAGTAGCTAAAATAAATACTGGCATAGAAAACAACGTACTTGGAATGGAAATAAAATTGAAAAGACAAAACCGAACATTTTGTGAATGTCACTGACAATGTCAGAGAATAACACATCTTTTGAGAAGGGAAACACATGTGATGATGCTCCACTGTTACCACGAGCTATCCTCACAACTGCATAACACGGCAATACCCAGCCGAGTCTGACAAAGGCAGCAAGCTTCCTGCCATCCCTGTGGCTTCCATACTGCAATTCTGACTTCCATTTCTAATTCTCAAGAACAAAATTATTTTTTAAAGCTTTTTAGTGGTGCTTTTTAATGATGAATTGAACTTCTAATTCTGGAAAACGTTCGTTTTGTATTTCTGTAAATACCACACGCCACCAAAACCACTGTAAAATTAAGCTTGGCACCTCACACTGTCAAGATCCAAACCAAGATTACACTGCACAGTGGTCTAGCTATGAAATCCAGCACTTTAAGGTGAACTGCTTAATAGTGATCAATGAATGAAGGGTCAGTATCTGAGACAGAATGGGACACCTTGGGCTGGCCTTCAGAGAGCCAAGGGCTTACAGCCAGACCAACTTAGTCAACTAACACAGCCAAATTATGCCTGTAAGGAGTTAAAAGGAATATAGACAAGCCCCTGTCTCCCTGACCAGCCCCAAAAAGAGAAGAGAGGGGTGTAAATGGATAGGGCACCAGGGCCTTGTACGCTCGGTCACAAAGTGTCCATCAAGCTGTTCTGTCAGCTTTTATCCCAACTTCTGCTTTGCCAGCAGCACACACTTACCAGCATTTGTTGGTAAAAACATGGTAAACACACAGGCAAGCCCTGCAAATGTCAGAAAACACGTCATGGTTTTACGTCTTCCAGACCTGGAAGGAAAAGAGCACCCGGGTAAAGATGGAAACAAGGCCCTCCAGTGTTTTTCAGTTTGTCTGCAAATTACCAAAGTACTGAAGTACACAGCAGCACAAGTAACAGCTCTAAATCCATTGCACCTTGGTCAGTGCTTCACATCTTGTGGCTTTTTGCCACTGACCTCAGTGAGACCAAAGTATCGTTACAAAGACACCAAATGTGCAGGTTACACGAAACCCTGAGGAGCCCTCAGTGGTCAGAATTTTTGGGCTTCGGAAAAAAACACCCACACAAAGGATGGCCTCCAAGCACACTGAGAAGTATGAAAATACACAGACATGGATCATCCGTGCCTTCCTGAAAATTGAACAGTTCTTTTCTAAGAGAACTTTGAAGTGAGATTAGGTAAAAATGAACAATGCTGAAAACTGCTTTCAACTGCAGTTGGTAGGCACTACAAAACCATGTTATTCTGAATAAAATATGTAAGAGAGATATATAACCTATAGGTACTTAAATAACTAGGCTACTCACTTCTTTCCATAAAGACCAAAATTTTTTAATAACGTTAATCATTGAAGAGCTTATCTCCGGAGTAATGTAAGATCTGAACAAAACTAAAAAAAGCAAAGATGTAGAAAACCAGTCTCATTTCTGCATCAAGTGCAGAAACTCCTACAGCAGAGTAAATCCCCAAAGAACCAACACTGTTTAGAAGAAGTGAAGTATCTGACTGAGAAAAATGTTAATATTTTTCTAGGGTATCTACAAATACATGCAGAGAACTAGGAAATAAGTTTTTCTTACCAGGATTTCTCAATGAAAAACATGCAGAGAGGAAATGCTGGAACTTCTACAAGACCAGAAAGAGCCACGTTTAAATAGAGATTTCCTCTTAATTCACCAGCATTTAAAGTTAGTCCATAGTACACAAAGCTGCAGACATACCTAAAAATAACCAGAAAAGTTATATTATTAACAGAACTAGTCTTTAGGACTATGAAAGCATTTAAAAGGTAAATTATGCCAAGTTATGGATTAGCTATATTGAGGTACATGGTAGGAAGACAACTCTGAGATCCTCCTGGAAGGGAAATAAGGCAATGAGAAAAGCTCCTATTTAATTACAGTAACTTGGTACAGTTGTATCACTTTTCAAGACAGCACCTAATATAAATCTATGCAACCTGTATTTTACCTTGCTCACAATTTTCCTGCACTGAACCTGTGAAATGTAATTTCAGGCTCTTAACTCTTCTTCTTAATCCAGATCTCTGTGGCTGCCTAATCCGTGCAGCCCTTTTCTTCCCAAGGCTGGTTCAAACACACATCCTCTCAGTAATTTCTGCTTCAGCTTCTCATTTCACTCTAAGTAAATATTATGTTCTCACCAGATTATTTCTTAGTAGGTTTTGAAGCGGTTTCTAAGTAACATACTGAAAATAAAACACAACAGCAACAATGACAGAACAGCAACCTTGCAACACAGCACTTCGCAGGATTATTGTCTACCATCAACCGACGCATTTATGACACATTGATGTTCTGTGCTTTTTAAAGATACTACTTTTTAGAGAAAAGGGTGAAAATGTTCATTACTTCCTCGTGTCTGATTCACCCCCAACACCTCAGCACCTTGCTGTCACCCACCAGATGTACATCAGAAGGATGGTTCGCCACCGAAGGACCGGCTGTTTCACCAAGTTCAGGATTCCAGGTGCCAATTCATCCTTCCTCAGAGTTCCTGCACTGGGTTTCAATTTTAGATTTAATCTTTCTTTTCCATTACAAAGGGCAATATATTGCAACACGTCTTCAGCTTCTGCTGTTTTCCCTTGGGAGTACAGCCACCGTGGAGATTCTGGGAGCATGCTAACAGGAGGGAACAGAAGAGCAACAATGACAAGTTCATTCACTGCTCTAAAGTCAATCTTACCATTTTGCAAATCGATACTTGGATAAAAATACCAATACAAAATCCAGAGGAACACATTGTAGTTGTACTGTTCTGCACATTCAGTTCCAGGCAGCCTGGTGATAATACAGTTAAACCTTACAGATGGATCCCTGGGAGATGCCTGACAATGCACTCAGTCATGTTAGAAAAGTTTACATCTCATTCTTGACTCCTGCTGAACTGACTTCTTAGGCAATGCTACAATAGCATGGCCAAGGAAGCATCTCAAACCTCTACTATTTGAACATCCTGAACAAAACCTGGTTTTCACAAAGTTTATTTCAAGCTTCTCCACTACAGGAAGGGCTCCAAGTTGGAGCAGAGAGAAGGAAAGAAACCTTACTGGGGAATTAATTGTCAGGCTCCAGTACCAGCTCATCACTGCTCATATAAGATTTAAATCTCTTATTCCCACGTATAATCAGAATATCCTGGCTTTCCACAACTTCAGTTCATTATTCCAGCTTTTCTTTTTCCTCTGTGGCAGCTTTTATATGAGCCATAAAATAAGGAATGGAATATTTTTAACTCAACATTTATTTTCTCCAGTACTCTTAACAGATATATACATCCTACAACCAAACTAAACTTTCATTACCTCAGAGGATCCCAGCATTTTTAGTTTTTGGGGAAGTAATTCTACTCCATCAGAAACAGAACACTACAGAGGAAAACACATCATGCAGAAATTCTTTGTGCTGCCCGCAGAGTTTGTTTTCCTTGACTACAGGAAGCGAGGTGGGTTTTTTTACTGCATTCTTTAACAGAACTTAATTCAAGAGCAGATCTATCTAAAAAATAATGGAAATCAGAAGAGCTTTTTCCCATCTGTGCCGTGTGCTAGACATTCCTGGCAGGCAAAATACTACGCTATATGTGCAGGCAAAATACTACGCTATTCTTTTATTTCTTCTACAGCTTTAACTAGTGACCAGGAGAATACAAGGTGCATTACTTGATACATTAAAAGAACATTTTCTAAGAACACAGCCCAGACAAAGCTAGCATCTAATTCCTTAAATACTGATGCATTTTATAATCATTTTTTTGATAATGTCAGTGTGGGAATTCTAAATAGGAGCACCCAAGCACAGCAGTGCTAGGAATAGACACAAGGAACCTCAAAAGCAAGCAGATACACAACACATCACACTAAAAAGGCAATTCCTAGTGCTCTCACTTAGTTCCCTTTGCATGCTGAGTCTCACAGAGAGGAACTCTACAATCCCTTCCCAAGCTCTGAAGCCCTGCCTTGGCAGAAGGCAGCATTCCTGTCCCTGGCAGATGCTCCAGCTCACAGCCTCTGGCCGGCCTTCCCCTCCCTTCCCAAGCAGATCTGTAACTGAGTTTCCTTGGACAGCTGGCACACAGCTGCTCTCTGCAGCACTGGCCACCACAGCTGTAACAACACACAGAAACACAAGCCTGTCTGCTGGGTAACCCCGACTTCCTGCTTCACTTCACACCCCTTCTTCCTGCACAACAGAGTTTTAACTCCTGCTTGGCTCACAGAACCCTACAGAAAAGTGTCACCCTCCTTTATAGCCCTCTCAAATGGTGACAAGGTTCATTACTGCATATTTTTTTCCTTATCATGAGAATGCACGTGAACCACTTACAAAGAGAGGAGGAGGAAGAAGACCCCTGGAGTGTTGGACACCAAGGCGAGGTAGCGCCACTCTCTGATACAGTAACCCAGCAAAGCAAAAACAGCAATGCCAACTGCAAATGTCACATTAGTTAGTGAACCTGAAAAAAACAAGAGCAAGCCAGTCACCACAGAAAACCATTGGCAAAAGGGAAAAAATTCTTAAAGCAGAAGCCTGAAATTCCTAAATAAAACAGCAATTTTATGAGCTATCTTTACAGCACTTGTGAACCAGCTGGCTTAAGTGTAACATGGAATCCCAATGAAGAACAGCTTTGCGTAGAGCATGGGAGGGTTGGGGGTTTTTTTTCCCCTTTAAAAAAATAAAAGAGTGGGACATAGGAGAGAGCAAGACATGAACAGGAACTTAGACACTAAAGAGAAAACCTGAGGACAGGAGGGGAAGCATTGGGAGCAAGTGATTTATTTAGGTCTGTTGGGGAAATCTTGAATAGAAGCAGCAGGCTGGAGCAGAAATTGGAAGTTACAGAAGTACGAGGACTGAGCTCAGTACAAAACCAGCTGCCAATCCTGGGGTTTATTACAGCAGATTTCTGATGAACTAACATAAAGAAAAGTGTTTAAAATACGGGGTCAACTGGAACTCCAAAAGCCCAGCAACAAACCTTCTGCAGCCAAACAGGAGATCCTGTGGCCCGCAGACACTCGGAGCTGTGTCCCACAGAGCCCAGCTCACACCAACATCCCGACAGCTGCTCTGACACAGCTGAGCTGCATCCAGCATCTCCCTCTCCCTCAGCCCCTCCTTCCCAACGCTGAGCACAACTGGAAGAGAGCACCTAGAGCAACAAGCAGCAGGAAATGGCCCAGCTTGTCCATCCATCGGGAGGCTGGCCCTGCAGGGAGGAGTCTGGGAAGAGCAGAGAGAGACAACCGGGCAAGGGAGGAGGAAGGGCGGGAAAGAGAGAGAGAGAGAAAGCACAAGTCAGAAAAGTGAACTCAGAAGAGGAAAATTCAGTACTTAAAAAAAAAGGCGAAAGGTTATAACTAAACCACAACTGCCTCATACACCCCCAGGAGCTCAGAGAAAAAAGTAAGAAAAACAGCAAAACGAGGCAACTGAATAAATGAGGGAGAGAAATATGCTCATCACAGACACAGAAAGCCAGCGTTTGGACTATGTTTTTCCCCATGTTGTGTCTGCCAGAAAGGCGTTACAGCCTGAGCTACTCCAGCTTTGAAACTGTCTGACATCCAAGTGTTAAACTTATTTTAAGTCTCGGCATTGGCATATGAGAAAAGGACATTTAAAAATACTGGATGGTCAGCACTTTCAGCAGTGGAAAAAACACTGTCCAGGCACCAGCTCATTTTGTGGTTCACAGAGACTTTTCCCAGAATACCCTCCCAAGGTATCACACAGGAGAAGTTGGCAGGATCTGCCAAAACATTTGTTTTCTTTTTTAACGTAATGCAGTGTACAAATTGAGAAATTTTAGGAATTAGTGTATCAATTTGAAAACCTCAGTTTTGCTACCTATCAAACAAACTCACTCCCATCTCCCTTATTCAGGCACCTTTCCCACAGAAATGAGAACCTGGATGAATCACATCACACTCATCTGATTTATTCTACAACTGACTTGACTTTGTACAAACATAAAATATAAGGCACTGATAGAACAATATGTGTCACAGTAACAATGATTAAATATATCCCAAATCCCACCTGTAAATGACCAAAATGATTTTCCTACATATTCCTGTGTTAGGACAAAAGACACAAGAGCCATTCCACCATTCACGATTCCAACAAAAAACCGCGAAACCGCAAATACGTCATAATTCGGAGCTAAGGCTGTGACATACCCAAAAATGACATCAAAAAAGAGACCTGTAGAGACAGAATAAAATGGAATTAGTACTTCTGCTACACAGCTTGAACTCCAAAACAGAGCAGGGACCACAGTCAGCGACTGACTATCGTGAGTAGACTTTAGTGCTCATCTCCCGTGTCTTGCGTTTGGCTTTCTGAAATCACATCATACAAAAATTACAATCATTTTCAAGGCACACACTTGAGGCCTGCAATGTCAAAGGTGACATTTCCTTCACACAGTGTTCTCATTAAACAAAAAGACCCTTTGGTTGCAAAAGGGTCTGGAAAGCAGAACACCAGGACAGGAGGAACCCGCTCCAGAGATGTTGAGGGAAATCATGCTCCCCCTCACCCTCCAAAAACGGGCAAATTATTTTTCATTTGGAACAATATGGTTGGGCAATGTGTGGAACACTGCGCTCCAGTAGTGATAACCAGGGTAAAACCAGGTTCTTTTTCATCTGCCATCGACATTCTGTGACCTCTGTGTTGCTCAGCACACTCGTATTGACAATTTCAGTGCTGCTCCACTCTGGGTGACAAGCTGACACAGATCACTGACAGAGCAGGGGGCCCACGAGCAGCCTCTGAGCAGGGTGGGCCAGGGGCAGGGAAGAAAAGAGATGTTATCCATGTAGAATGCTTAAGAAAAATCTTTTAACGCTCCTACCTGAGATATACACTGGTTTCCTGCCCAGTTTATCTGACAGAGGGCCAAATGTGATATTTCCAATGAGCAGTCCAGCAAAAAACAGGGACGATGCAAGGCTTACTTTGTAGGCTTCTTGGTCAATTAGGTACCACTGCCAAAAAAAAAAAGAATATCCTTATTAAAAGTATGAACACCAAGTTGCTGCTTTCCTCAAAAACAATGAAAAATCTATCAAAATTCTTTATTGCCATTTCCCACTTGTTGTTTTATATCCCATTGAAGTTTTATTCAAAGCTTGATAGGTAAGCCCACAGTAGCCATGTTTTTGCCTCCCCAACAGACCCTAACATCTCTCCCTCAGGAAATTTCAACGTAATATATTAAAATCTTTCAACTTAGTAAGTGCAAATAGTTGCACCCCAGTTCCCAAGCTTTGGCCAGGCAGCTTACCTTAGGTTATTAAAACAAGGAGAGTCTGAACTGTTAACAGCTTACCCAGCACTGAACCAACTCAGCTGTTTCAAAGCACAGATATTAAAAATCCTTCCTTAGCAAGAATAATGCACGTTCAGTGCTGCAGTACTCAGGGAGTTAATGCTGTGCAGCTGTGCTTCCTGATCCTGGTGATCCCTGGTGCCCTTCCCCACCATCCACATGCTGAACCCTCGAAGGCAATCGGGAAGGGATTACGGAAAAATGTCCTTGTTTCATAAAAATGCCAAGACCTACTTACAGACTACTCACTGGTGTTTTAGTATCTCACTGCACACGTGCATTTATAGCCAAGCCAGAGTTAGAAATGCATCATGGGTTTCTTCACAAAGTGTACTTTCTACCTCATCCAAAAGCTAAACTGAAGCAGCGCGGTCAAAAATCATCAGAAGAGAAGAAAATGAGCTCAGAGTGGGTTGAAATCAGAATGAAACACTATTTCCTGCTGGGGCAAGGCACACAGAGAGCTTGTGCAGCCCCTGTACTACGGACAGGGAGAGTCAACACTCACAGGAACACACTGCTGGACTTAGAAACACTGCTGACCCCACCAACTTGAGAAAGAATCAGAAAATCCTAAGTCGTTTTCCAGGAAAGGAAATAAACTAATTCAACGCAAAGCTTTACCCAGAGAACTATTTCATCATTATTTGAGTATTTCAAATAATTCCCAGTGTATTTACTGAAAAATTTATTTCCAAAAAAAGCAGATGAGTGTCACACTGGATAAAGATGTAGCCCCAAAACTTATGGTTTCTTAACTTTCTGAGGAGACTTCAACAATGAAATACCCCTGGGCACAAACCCTCAGGAAAACTAAAGAATAAAAATATCACTGCATGTGCTCTCAAAAGCACAGAGCACTCCTTCTCCACTCTAGCACTCCACACCAGATTTCAAACTCCCAGTTCTTGCCTGCAGAGTATTTCAGGCTGATACAAGAGACCACACAACTTTATGCTCCTGGATATGGTTGCAAAAATCCACTTCTCAGGAGTAAGGGACCATTTCTACACCAAATGTAGAAGCTCCTGAACTCACTGTCCAATCCTGAACTCACCTTCCTAAGCACCATCACTTGTTAAAGCAGGGGACTGAGTTGATGCCAGATCAAGAAGCAATTCTAACAACTGTATTTTTCATAAACTAAGCCTGACCTATTATTTATGAATTCTTAGTTATGCCAAAATTAATTACAACAATTAGTTCCTGAAGCAGAAGTCAAGAGTTGCTCTGGAGGTTTTTTGAGAACAGTTCCCCTGGATAACCAGAACAGAACAGAGAATATTCAATCCCCACAAAGTTTAATCTCCAATGCCAAAATAGAGAAAATAAACTTTACAGAAGCAGCTTCCTTTCTCAGGGCAGAACCAGGAAAGATTGCTTTTGCAAACTGTTCCTTGTGCTGCTCGGTGGATGCATGTTTGTATTTTAACAAGTCTAATGTAACGAGCTGTGAAGAATGTAACTTTTAAAAGAATGCATCCATCTATTTTATTTGCACAAAGATAACTTGTTAAATATTTTTCAAAATGAGCTGTAGCTTGCCAACAAAAGTGTTGCCAATTTTGCTCTCACCAAAACAGACATCCTCTCAGCTCTTTATATCCACGTGGAAGTGTGATTTACTCACTAGACCCTTAGCAGCAAAATGCTGGTCAGCATCTAAAGATTCCATAAGAAGACTGTTAACAATACAGTTTTAAAAAAATCTTAAAGTTACCAAAATGCATGGGAACATAAATCTGTTGTGATGAATCTTGGGAATTACCACATATTTTGAAAATAGGGACACTGCCTCCTACATTTAGAAACACAGTCTTAGTTAAAATTTGTTGATTTCTGGTTATAAGTTAAGCACTACCCCACATCAGGCATCCTGCTGAAAGTCTGGAACTGAAGGGTGATCTTGCTAATCAAAAAAATCTGTTTCTGACACAGGATATGATCCAATATTGCATCATTCCTCCACTGTCTAGTCACTACATTTCTCCAAGGTAAACATCACACAGTCACACTTGAGATAACAGGAAGGCAGTAAAATTTGGCACCAGCTACACCAAGTGCTAACCTGTCTTATAGGAGTTTACTGAGAACTGCTCCAAGAATTCCATCAGCAGAACTCCAGCAGTTCAGGCCACCACTCCAGCCACCCACACAGCCTGTTTTCTGGCACTGGCAGCACTGCTCAGGTCACTCGTGCCTGTCTGAGGGATTACAGCCCAGGGACCAGGGAAAAACAAGCAGAGCCTCTTGCCCGGAATTCATAAGGCATAAGGATGAAGAATAAAGCTTCTGTCCCCCTCAGCAAACTTCAATCTGTTCCATCTCCTGCTCTCACCACACATTAAAATATCCAGACATGTGGTGCACAAGTTCCATTTCCATATTGGTTTCATCTTCTGTAAGGAACCAATGCAGCTCATGGCCAAGCTTACATGCACAGCAGATTGTGCAGGCACCACAGACTGAACAGACATTATGTCAACAGACATTAGGAGGAGCTCATCCTCAATCCCAGTTATAAACTGTAATTAAATCATCATTCTTCATTAATAATGACTTTCTAAAAACAGCTGAAGGTAAAACTGAAAACAAGTAACATACGGAAAGTTCAACCTAAATTAATAAGTATTAGATTTACACTAGGAAAACTAAACTAATAATTCAGTCACATACTTTCCGATTTAAAAACAATAATAAAGTCAAAGAGCCAAATGGTGGATTCTAAAGATTTTTAGTAGCATAAGCCAGACATTACACTAAGCCCTGCTTGGCTTTTCCACATGCCATGTCCTGCACCAGTGGCACAAATCCCAAGAAGAGAAGAACTGAGGACACTGAAGGAAGTACTCGCCTCAGTGACGATGGATGTGAAGTTGCTGGCAAAACGGATGTGCTTGGCAAGCTCAGCTCTGCTCGCTGGAATTCCCTCCTGGTCTATGTGGTACCTGGGCACAGCTCCCACGAGCACAATAAGCATCGACTGGCAAGCCACGTATACCTTAAAATACAACACAATCAATCACTGACCCTGAACAATCCCAAGGAGACCTGATGGAATATTGCAGGCTTTTCATTAAACTAACAATTAACAATTCCCCAAAGAAAGCATTCCAAAGAAAACACAGTCAGTCTACTGTGTCTAAATCCCCAGATGTGACCATGAAGGTCAGTGGGAGCAGCAAGTACCACCCAGAGAGGCTGGTGCACTTCCAATGGAAGATTCATCTTCACACCCTCCTTCCTGGTGTGGAGTTGTTCGTTTTGTTCTTGCAGATTTTAGCCAGACATAGGAAAGGAAGATATTAAAAACTTCATTATAATTTCATAGGTGATATTTAATACTTACATTTTTTTATACATAAAAGTTTTACTAGAACGAGTATATTTATTCATTGAGATGGGCTTCGAGACGTTTTTAACATCTTCCAGGCTTTGCACATGATTTTATTTTTTCTAACTTAAAATAACATTATCCCTAAGCATATCCACATATTAGTGATTTTTAGCATGTCACCACTAAGGGAAAAGTTTTGACTCCAGAATGGCTCCCTTCATTGGGCCACAAGTCTTCAGATGGTGCGTTCGGCTGGATGTTGTTTTAATGGGCCATCTAATCCTGTGCTTACCTTGGACACTCTTGCAGAAACAAGTTACAAAGAAAACCATCAATCAGCACAGTCTCCCTTCCTCCCAGTCGTGTTTCATTCAAAACGCAAAACTGCACTAACAGGAGGAAGCGAGAGAAAACTAACGGAGCGAAACAGATAAATATTTGCATGCTGGGGCGTGGGTACTATTTAAAGACAGCACTCTGCATACCACTTTCAGAAGAGATTAAAATAGGAAAAAAGAAAGAGAAACAGAAAAAAAGTGCTGTAGTTAGACTCCATTTCCCTCATCAGCAGAAGCATAAGAGGCGCTCTTTAAAAAGCAAGCAAGATAAGGAGATGCGCACAGGAATAAGGAAAACACATCATGAACTTTGACAAGTTAAGCACGCAAGGCAGCACTGAGGTAAGAGAGAGGTTTGACAGGCTCCTTGGAAAAGCACCAAATCCGGTTTGGAACGCCCACGAATCCAAGCGGGGCTGCAAGAGGATGTTCGCCGGCACAGAACGGCCAGGGGAGGGAGGGCTCCTCCCCAGGAGCAGCGGCCGGGACCGGGACGGTTCTCAGAGGCGGAGTTGCTGTGGGGGGACACGGACCCCCCGGCTCCCGCCGGGAAACCGTTTCCCGGCGGGATTCCCGAGCCCCCTGCAGCCCGGGAGCGGGGTGGGGATGTCCCGGCAGCGGCACCGCCGTGCCCGCGATGGTGCCCGGGCTGTGCGAACAGAAACCAAAAGCAGCGCCCGGGGGTCCCGCCGCGCCCTCACCTGCAGCAACACCAGCAGGGCCGTGAGGCGCCGCTGCCCGCGCCCGAATGGCCCCGCCGCCGCCAGCGCCTCCTCCACATCCAGCCCCAGCTCCGGCCCCGGCCCCGCCGCCATGGCCCGGCCGCAGCGGCGCCCAGCCGGGCTAAGCCGAGCCCAGCCGAGCCGAGCTCCGCCCCGGCCGTAAAGCCTCACCCGCTGCCGGCGCGGGGCAGGACCGGCCGCGGCCCGGCGAGGACTGTCGGGGGCGTTTGGAACGAGAGCCCCGCCACAGCCGCCGAACGGGGCGGGCGGAGCGCGGGGCATCCGCGCCAGGCGGGGGGGAAAGCCTCTCCACGCTGCAGGAAGAAAAGGCTGCCAAGGCAGGAGGTGAGTCCGGGCAGGATGCTCCGAGATAAGGCCACATCTCCTCTCCAGCAAACAGGCAATCAGGGGGTGCTGCGGGAGACACCCCGGAGGAGAGCAGAACAGCCCGGCAGTTGTTCCAGAGCTGCCTGAAAACGGGAGCGGCTCTCCCTCTTTCATAGCCTGGTTTTAAGAGAAGCAGTGTTTTTCATCAGGATTTCATCTAGACTAGATAATTGCAGGCTGCTACCAAAGGTTAATTTTGCTCAGTAGCCTTTTCCCCGGGCTGCTGTCTCTGGTCGTGTGGTAATTCGGCACCTACTGAACTAGGAGGCTGCCCTGCCAATTCAATAAACAATGTGAACTAACATAAATGCTCTCTTCACCCTGTGGCTTTCATCTAGTTTGCAGGGTGACACCAAAAAGCTCCACACCCTATAGATAGCAGGAGAGCAGGAGAAACTCCTTTCAACTTGGCAAGTCTAGTATTAAGAATAGAGACATTAACTATCATTAATTAAGGTGTTTGACAAAAGCACAGTGACCAGCCTTGTTTGGTGCAATTTCTTCAAGACTCTAACACACAGTTACATTTGCATTTTTCCTACCATTACATTTGAAGGTGCAGCTTTTACTATTACACTAACTTTGTACAGGGTTTTAGTTTTGCTTTGGGGTTTTAAGTCTTTCTCCTCGGCCCGATCAAGAAATCCTTTGAAGCAGTAAGTTAGGATGACCTCCTCTTAGTATTCTTATTCCAGGAGAACTAAAATTAGTAGACAGATTGGCTGTCACAGCACAGCTCCCCGAGGAAGCAGCAGGTGCCGTGCAACAGAATGAGTTTGTTGCCCAGGAAGAGCTGAGGGTCAAAGTGCTGCTTACCTTGGAACTGGGACAGCCTGGAATAAAGGAAGTTTCCAAATAATTTCTAAGCTTCCTCATCCACGTAGTCACCGTACATTGGCAGATAGCAGTGAAATCCTAGGTTTTGAGGTCCTTGTAGTCTCTGCTCCAGCTGCTTTTGTGATTCCTGCCCTAATTCAGACAGAGCAATCTGTCACTGAACCTTGGCAAAGGTGGGCAGACATAAGACAGGTTCCTGTTCTGTTCCTGAATACAGCTACAGAAAGGACAACAGTAATTTTGGAACTCTACTGATTTTACAAGACCTATTTGGTTTCCCCTCATATTCCAACATCTGTTTTCTCATGTTAGTGTGGAGAACACACGATGCCCAAGGACTCAAAAAAAAGAGCCCAAAAAAACCTGTCCCCATTGTTGCTGCATCTGCTTCACCTTTAACATTTCAGCCTAAGATATACATACCAGCACTGGTTTAGAATCATCAGGTAATGATTCCCTGAGTGGGTCTCACCAACATCACGTTACACAGCGGGACAGGGTTTCAGCCCACATTCAGGAATGTTCCTGCTACCTGCTAAACATCAGCTGAACAAATAAAGGAGAAAAGATCAGCATTGTTTTCTGACATTCACAATTTTTTGCCAGGGGGTTTGTACTGCACGAACTGCTCTGATATCAGGAACTGAATCACTGCAAGGTCCCTTACAGTCAGATGAATTTTCATAATGCTTATATTTATTGCCACTGTCTCTCAAATCTTTCTCCTAAATTAACATTATTAAGCAATTCTTTCCTTTGAGGCAGTAAGTCAGGAGCCTTGCAAACAAGGTCCAGAGAACATGGTCACCGAGGTTTTGGATTGGGTTTTGGGAGGAGTGTTAACAGCTTATTTGAGCTGTTTGAGAAGGACACCTTCCTTCTCTGGGTCACCACAGGAACTCTGCCTAGGAAATACAAACTCAAATCAGTTTGCTGTCCAGCAGTTCCCCAGGAAGGTGTATCCTTTGGGACAGGAAACATCTCAATTTGAGTTTACTCTGAACCAAACATCTCAAACAGGTAACATTGTACCATTTTCAAGTTGCCTTTCCCAAGGTAAGTTCCATTTCAGCATAAATCAGCTTCAGGTTCCATGGCAGAACCCCCAAGGCAGGTCTGTCACCCTTCAAAGAGTTTTAAAAGCCTCTCCAAAGTTCAGATGGGTTGTTTTGGTGCTGGAACCATTATGATAAACAACAGAACACAGATCACATACTGACTGGTTTGTTAATCGTAATTCAGGTAATAAAACATCCATTGCATCCTGCTCAAAGCAGCATTTATTAAAGAGAGCATCAAGATAAGTCAATGCATAACAAAGCCTTCCCTCCTACAAATATGTAAACAAGTTGTCAGGAAGTTATTATTACAATATAAAAATTAAAGCTTACATTGCATTTTTTAAAGCTACTAACTTCAGTCCAAATGTAGACAGTCTCTGGTCTATAGCATTTAAAAATATAAGTTCTTGAAAAATGTTAAAGTATTGCCTTTGCACATACACATCTTTGTAGAAAAATACTTAAAAATACCAACTTCCCATTAATAAAAGCAACACCAAAAATAAAACACATTATTGTCATGAAGAGAGTTTTAAATGCATCCAGCATTTTCTTCACCATTCTGTTTTATCAAATTATCTTCTGTTCACTTAAAATTCATTATAGTTTGTAAAATGCATCTTGGATATTAATCAGTTACTTTCATATACCAAAGAAATTCACAATATTGGTAACTACATTGTAATCAGAGTCTGGCCTAAGCTTATTTGCAGCTGAGGCCATCAACTTAATCCTCATCTCAAACGTGGGTATTTGAACATGTCCAGTAGGCTCTTGCTCAGAACTCTGAGTCAGTTCACATATATTTTGGAAAGGCTTGAAACCTTGATATGATTTAAACAGAAACACACATTCTCTTTTAAAGCACCTTTAACCTCTGTGTAAGTTTTGTTTAACTACATTAGAAGTCCTGTTGGTGGCTGTCAATTCTCAGGAAATACTTTGAGAAGAATGTTATCCGATTTGACATGAACTACATTTTACAGTCCAAGACCAAACAGAATGTTAAGGTAAACATCAATTTTTAACATTTTTTCCAACAAGTTTACTGACAAGAGCTAGACAGATGACTTCTGTAGTTGCTAAGGCAAGAAAACTTCAAAAATTCTCTGTACACAAAGTTTAAACGATTGTGTAGTATTTCAAAACCAAACTAAATTCAACAAGCAAATTGGGATGAAAGCTAATCATGCCATTGTGCTCTGCTGACATCAGCTGACAATGAACAGCAAGAAGAAAAAAATTAAGATAATACACAGTGAACCCCTTTCAGGATGAATTCAAAGAGCAAAATCAGGCTGTCAAGAAAAGAATTTTACAGCTGGTTATTGGACTGAACAAAACAGCTAGGAAAACACTGGGAGTTTGGTCACTCAAGACAGTATCTGAGAGAACATTTATATGGAAACAGGAATGAATATGAATAATTCTGCCAGTTTTCCTAGTTCCATGCAAGGTTCAAGAAAGAGTTTACTTAGCCAATTGAGTTAGCAAGTTAAGTCTGCCCCAAGCTACAGCCTCAGGTACACAGAGACACCAAGAGCAACTTCCTGACACGAGTGTGGTAGAGCCCAAAATACTCAGATGATCTCCAGCTTTGGAAGCGTGTTAAAAACACAACCCCCAAAATAGGATCTACGTGAACCTGTAACAGGAACTGTATTTCTGAAAGAAGGGCTTACCCTGCTCCTTCATGCAGGATTGTGATTTGTAGAAAAAAGTGATCGTTTTATTGCCATGCTTGCATGATGAGTTACAGCAAAATGCAGCAGCAAGTGCTCGAGGAGGATGCTCAGCTGGACAGTAAGCCAGAGATTCCATCCCAGGTTAGCAGAATGTTCAGAGAGGGGTGAGATGCAAATGCAAAAGCTTCAGCTTCCTCTAAGGTCTGACATATCAACACACACACACACAGCCTCTCCCTTGCACTCAGGGAAACAGATGAGAAGCACAAACATTCCTGGGGCAGAAGTGACTCCCACACCCTGGGGAGGAGGCTGCCTTCGTGATCACTCCCTCCCCACAGACAGCAGCTCCTTGTAAAAGCTGGATCACAAGGTGCAGTCCTGGCTAGAGGACAGGATTTCTGCTCTCTCACTTGGGAGAGAGCAGCCTTCCTACCTTCTGATACATGTCTTTGAGTAAAGCAATCCAAGCTTTAGACTTTTAATCACATGTGGACAGCTGGGACTTCTCACTGCAGCACTGAACTTCCTTGGGTCCATTAAAGCTTGGATCTGTCAAAGCACTGTGCCATCAGCGTGGTGTTTGAGCCCAAGCTTTGCACTGGGTTTACAGACCCCCCTCACAGCCAGGGAGGGCTGCAGTGCCACACAGACCAGCTGCACTTGGATCCACACAGTCCCAGCCCCGGCCTGAAGGACACAGGAGGATACTGGAGTGCCAGTGTGTACCAGGAGGGCAGTAAGTGCCCACCAGCAGGGAACTCCTGCAGCTGTAAG